TCTCTCTCTCTCTCTCTCTCTCTCTCTCTCTCTCTCTCTCTCCTTTTCCCTTCCTTTCTTATTTCCTTCCTCCCTCCCTCCCTTTTTCTTTATTTTCCATGATACATTCTCCCTATGAAGCCCCAGCTGGCTTGAAACTCCCTATGTAGACCAGGCTGGCCTCGAGATCCACCTGTCTCTGCCTCTCCAGTGCTGGGATTCAAAGCTTGGGCCACCACACCCTGCTTAGCTGCAGGTTCTTGAACCTGGATCTTTGTATCGCCTACCACCATTCAAACCAACTTGATCCTGCTGGGAGTGGGGTGTTGGAGAGTAGAGCCAGTAAAATGGCACAAAACCATGTAGACATCCACAAGGCATTCGCGCTACATAGACACCTTTTATCTTACTGACAATGAGGTAGGGAGCAATGACGGAGTTCCAAGCAAGGGAAGTGAGGACAACATGCATCATGGGAGCCATAGGAGATCAGGGGAGGACCAGCGGTGTGGAGTCTCATGCCCCAGAATGCCTCATGGTGCTCCAGAAAGAACAGTCAGGAAAGATGAGGCCTTTCCTGGGAGTGGGTCAAACCTCATGCCTGGAGGATCTTGGTCAAAAAGGGCAGATGGGACTCCTGCAATGACAGATGAGTATTTGGTCCCCCAAAGGATCTTAAACTCAGGAGCTGGCAACAAAGCACTGTCTGAATCCCTTCATGTCTCCGGGTCCCCTGAGGGCAAGCGCCTCAGTTTTCTTCTAAGCACAGCCTGCGGAACATCCTATGGATTTCCTGCTGCCTCTGCACCTGGGGCCTCTCCTCTGGCTCTTGCTGCCACTGCTGCTGCTGCTTTGCTCCCTCTGGCAGGAGGCTGGGTCCATCGGCTTCCAGGCTGAGAGTAAGGCCACTGAAGCCCTGCACCAGCATTTCCAAGGTGGAAGTGTTGGAGGTCCCATTCTTTTCCCTAGAAATATTTTGCCCATAATCCTGGCAGTATTTGCATTCATATCAGAACCGATTCTGAGCTCTGTCGCTGGAGGGAGAGGCTCTGGTGCCCCTTTCCACTGGGTAAGGTGCCAGGTGATCGCAGTGCCTGCGTCTCAGGTGTCCCAGGAATGCTTTCTTCTGAGGGAAACCCAGCCTTTCCCTGCGCTGCTCCTGCAGGGTCCTCTCGTCCCTGTACCGCTGCTGCAGCAGCCCCTCTGGCAAAGGTGTAGGGGTGCTAGAACCAGGAGGGGGAGTGGGGCCCAGGCTTCTGAGGCCTATCCTCAGCTGTTCTAAGGACGGAGGCTGAGAAGCTGCAGGGCCCTCCTGAGAGGTCTCCACAAAGGTCACCTGGGAAGACCTGGAAGTCAATGCTGGGTCCCATTTCTGGAGTGGATCCATGAGGGTCTAGTCTGAGCTGGAGGCCACACTGGACAGGAAGGTGAAAGTAGAGGTTTTATAATAACTAGAAGGTAGTGAGGAGGAATGTGGGCGGCCAGAAGCCACACTATAACAAAAGGGGACAAGAAGAGAAAGAAAGCTCACGGTTATTCATCTCACTTTACCTTTCTTTCCTTGTCTTCGGAGCTGTGAATCTTAGCTCTGTCCAAACTCCCAGAACTACTGAGGGAGCTTAGGAATGGATACCATAGACAAGGCCAAGCCAAGAATGGTGGTAGCACACACCTGAGGCAGGGGGATCACAAATGCAGGCCAGCCTGGGCTACATACCCAGCTCCAGACCAGCTTGGGCTACATGGTGAGAGATCTTGTCTCAAAAAGGCAAAAAGAAGCAACAACAACAACAAAAAGATTATTTAAAGGTCAGTACATGAAAGTCAATCAAATGAGTACTGTAAAACTAAATATAAAAAGCAATACTGTAGGCCAGGCGTGGTGGCTCACGCCTTTAATCCCAGCACTCAGGAGGCAGAGG